ACACTGCTTCCCCGTTTAATGTCTGTATCAAAAGAAACTATGATGATGCGACGTTCGCGACAGATTTTTATGTGAAATCACGTTTTTTTCCAGAAGTTGTGAGCGGTTTTGTAGGCGCATCGATAACGACATTGACCGTGAGGGATTGGAAAAAAATAATGCCCGAAACATGCGTAACGATAAGTTAAATTCAAAAGTGTTACTGCATTGCTTTAGCCATCTAGTTTTGAAGTCGCCGAAGATAAGAACGATGTCTTAAGGCTCACCTTTGCGGTCTCATCCGCTTTGTTGAAGTCCAAGCTTTCGACTTTAGCTGCATACTTTTTAGTGATTTTGTCCTCATAACTCTTCTTGAGTATATATTCTTTGCTGAAACAAAATGCGCGATATATTCTTTTTGGCTTGAGAGGGTCATATAGGCGTTTTTTGGAAAAATGACGATTTTTTAAAATTAAAACCACTCACTTTAAAAAGAATCCGTTAGCTATTCTAGCCTGCACCCTACTTGTAGCATTTGAGATTTGTTGAGAAAGACTGGAATAGTATTCGGTTATGGCGATATCAGATTCGCCTAAAATGACTGCTTTTGAAGCATGTTCGTATCATGTGTTTTATACACTCTGGGTTATTATGGCGAGTGTATCGATACTTTTCGTCTTATATTATATCTTTGTCAAATCTTGAAAAGGATTTAGATTTATAACTATTGAGCAGTACTGGCTCCTCCATTCTCTCTCCCCTCATCTTACCCTCCTTAGGCTTGTTTTCTCCTAAACCCTCTAGGTTTGTCTAGGGTACAGGGAAACGGGGTAAATATCGGTGAGAAACCAACAAACCTTATTTACGTCAGTTTGTCCAGTCGCGCGAAGAATGTAAATATCACTGAGTATTTATGGCGATACTTCATAAAACGTTGAAGCAAGGAGGACACTAGCTATTGGTAGGCACTCACTTTTGTCAAGACATCGGGTACCTTACAGTTTCTAATCGAAGCTGAGATCTTAGTTCCAAATGCTAAGTGCATTTGACGTTAAACCCATTACCATTCTGCAACTCAGTTTTAACTAACCTAACAGTAAATCAGGTCTACTTTTCTTTTGCTGGCCAAGTACTCTTCAATTTAATCGCCAGTGTCTAGTTCGTTCCTTTCATAAGCGAAGTCATAGTTAGCAAAGGACATAACGATGAAATAAGGTTGGTTCATTTCGTGTTATCAACTGTTTCTCACTTTAATTACGTTTAGCAAAGACTAGGGTGCAGCGGATGGCAAGGCCGAGGAGGTGGGGAGAGAATAGGAAGGAGAAAGGGAGAGGCGGGAGTATTTGACAAAGAGAAAGC